GAGTTCTATTTCTTAATTGTATTGCTATGTCTATAATCAAAACAGAAGGCAGTAATAGAAGAATACAAAACCAAACACAAAACGCATAGATGTACTTTATTTCTTCGATGTATTCATAAGTTAGAACATATGCAGACATTTATTTATTGAAGTTAATTTTCAGTTAGTTACACAAATGAAAGGCACTTGCAGGGATTATGCCACAGTAATTAATTCACTAATTCAAGGTGAGGTAGAGGGGAAAGGTCACAACAGAGGAGACTGGGATCCCAGTGTTTGGAGCCTAACGATTTAACTGAGCAGCCTTTAGCTGGGTTGGAGTCTCAGTATTTTTGAAAGGGTTGTGGTTCCTAACATTCTAATTGATTCAGGCTTAAAGAAATAGAGCAAAAATCCTTGATCCTTTTGAGGGTATAAATTAGTTGTTTTTGCAACAAACTCAGATACTGAATTCTTTTTTATTAAAATAGTTTTATTTTTTAAGGAAAGCATTTAGGCTACATTTGCATAGTTTGAAATAGTTTATGCTGAAATAAATGTTTCTTTTGCAGGTGCAGTAGTGCTACGTGTTGCAAAATCATGGTTTAGAACTGGATCATTAGAAATTTTGGCTCATTATGGTGAACTGGATTTACTAAGGTTAGAAAGTGACTTTTTTTAAAATGGTAGAAGGCAATTTGAAAATGTTTATTTATGTGCTGGGAAGTTAAATATTTTTGGTTTTCAATTTATATATATATATGTATGTGTGTATATATATTTAATTCTCACCCGAGGATACGTTTTTATTGATTTTAGAGAGAGGAAAAAGGGGGAGAGAGAGAAACATCAATGTGAGAGAAAAACATCCATCATTGCCTCCTGTACACACCCCATCAAAGGACTGAACCACAGCCTAGGCAGGTGCCCTGACCAGGAATGGAACCTGTGCCTTTTTGTGTGTGGGATGACGCTCCAACCAACTGAGCCACCGAGCCAGGCATTAATAAATATTCTTAATACTTGTTGTGTGTCTAACATTGTGTGGGTTTTCTAGGAGGATAAAAAGAGAAGCGCAGGACCTGGCAGACACTTTCTCAAGGAATTTTTTGTTTCGTATGCACCCTCATTGCAGCGGAGGGCCTCTGTGCCACTCAGACACCTGGGTAGAAGTGACTCAGACTCCTCATTTCTGCAGCCTCAAGAGGGCCAAAGCTCTCCTTCCAATTTCTGGGATTCCCATCATGTGTCCTTTGTCTTATTTCTCTTCNTTAATTTCTGGGATTCCCGTCATGTGTCCTTTGTCTTATTTCTCTTTTTTCCTGGGCTGCAGTTTTGACATGTGTGTTATGCCTGTTCACACTGGGTTGATCCAGATGTGAGACTCAGCCCCTTCAACAGCATGAGGAAAAACAATAGACTAAATTTCCACAAAGCATTTAAACACAGAGTGCAACCAATCCACGTGCCTCTTTTACATCAATGGCTCTCTCTCTCGCTCTGTCTCTCTGTCTCTCTCTCCTCTCTCTCTTTGTCCCTCTCCCTTCCTCCCTTCCACTGTCTCTAAAAATTAATGGAAAAATATCCTTCGGTGAAGATTAACAACAACAAAATATAAAACAGTTTTTAAAAACCATTAGAAATATACATATAAGCAAAAAAATTCTCTTAGACAAACTAGAATCATTTGGAATATAGATCTTATATTGTAATTACTAGTTTAGTAAACCCAGATACCTAGTCCATGCAGAATAAGGGGGGAAATAAATGAGGGAAATGAATGAGCAGAGCAGAGAAGTTATCACACTTGACATGACTGTTCACTGAGTCTCTCTCTTTTCCCCCCAATTTATTTATTTTAAATATTTTTAAATTATAGTTGATGTACAATATTATATTAGTTTCAGGTATATAACCCAGTGATTAGACATTTATATAGCTTATGGAGGGATTACCCAGATAAATCTGGTGCCCATCTGACACCATACATAGTTATTACAGTATTACTGACCATATTCCTATGCTGCACTTTACTTCCCCATGACTATTCTGTAACAACCAATTCATACTTCTTAACCCTTTACCTTTTCAACCATTCCCCCAACCCATTACCCATCCGGCAACCATCAAAATGTTCTCTGTATCTGTGAGTCTGGTTCTGGTCTGCTTGTTTGTGTATTTTGTTTTTTAGATTCCACATATAAGTGAAATCATATGGCATTTGTCTTTCTCTGTCTGACTTATTTCACTCTAGGTCCACCCGTGTTGTTGAAGATGGCAAAATTCATTCTTTTTTATGGTTGTGTCATATTTTGTTGTATACATGCACTACTTCTTTAACCATTCATCTGTTGGTGGACACTTAGGTTGCTTTCATCTCATGGCTATTATAAATAATGCTGCATGAACATACGGGTACATATGTTTTTTTGATTCAGTGTTTGGGGTTTCTTCAGATAAATACTCAGATGTCAAATTACTGGGTCCTTCATTGTCTCTTTTTATAAACTTTGTGTTAAAGTCTATTTTGTCTGGTATAACTATTGCTACCTAAGGTTTTTTCATTTCCATTTCAAGAAATACCTTTTTCCATCCCTTTGCTTTCAGTGTGTATGTATCTTTGATCTGAGGAGAGTCTCTTGTATACAGCATCTGTAAGGGTCTTTTTATTGGAACGTTTAATCCATTTGCACTGAAGGTAATTGTTGTCAGATATGTCCTTACTGCCATTTTATTATTCATATTTCTGATCTTTATTTTCTTCTTCTTTTTTAAGAAGACCCCTTACCATTTCTTGTAATACTGGTTTGATGGTGATGCACTCCTTTAACTTTCTCTTGTCTGGAAAGTTCTTTATCTGTCCTTCCATTCTAAATGATAGCTTTGCTGGGTAAAGTAATCTTGGTTGTAGGTCTTTCCTTTTCATCACTGAATATTTCTTGCCAATCCCTTCTGGCCTGCAAAGTTTCTGTTGAGAAACTGACAGTTTTATGGAAGCTCCATTGAGGTAACTAACTTGCTGTTTTTATGATTCTCTCTTTGTCTTTAACCTTTTGCATTTTACTTATGATGCCTCTTTGGATTCATCTTGTTTGAGACTCTCTGCACTTCCTCAACTTGTATGTCTATTTCCTTCACCAGGTTAGGGAAGTTTTCCATCATTATTTTTTCAAATAAGTTTTCAATTCCTTGCTCGTCTCTTCTCCTTCTGATATCCCCATGATCTGAATGTTGGTATGCTTGCTATTGCCCCAGATGCCCCTTAAACTTCCTCATTTTAAAAATTTTCTTTTATTTTTGCTGTTCTGATTGAGAGTTTTCAGCTACTTTATCTTCCAAATTGAGGATTTGAGCCTCTGCTTCCTCTACTCTACTGTTGATTCTCTGTATTGTATTCTTCATTTTAGTTACTGTATTTTTCATTTCTGACTGGTTCTTTTTTATGTTTTCTATCTCTGTTTTTATGTTTTTCTATCTCTTTGTTGAAGTTCTCACTAAGTTCACCCACTTTTCCCCTAAGTTCTTTGAGCATCCTTATAACCAGTGATTTGAACTCTGCATCTGGTAGATTGCTTGTGTTCATTTTATTTAGTTTTTCCTAGAGTTTTGTTCTGTTATGTCATTTGGGACATGTTTTTTTGTCTCCTCATTTTGGCTGCCTCCCTGTGTTTGTTTCTATGTGTTAGGTAGAGCGGCTATGTCTCTCTGTCTTGGTAGAGTGGCCTTATGTAGTAAGTGTCCTGTAGGGTGCCATGTCACAGCCTTCTGGTCACTTGAACTATGTGCTGCAGATACACCCCACTGTGTAGACTGTGTGCATCCTCCTGTTATAGTTGATCCTTAATTGCTGTTGGTATGTCAGTGGGAGGGATTTACACTCAGACTAATTGGCTTCGAGGACTGGCTGCAACTAGAGTGGAGGATCTGCTGTGCAAGGACCAACCCCATGGTGCAGAATTCACTTCAGCGGGGCTCTGGTGCCCAGAGTCTGCTCCTTCAGTGTGTCACTCATGGAGGTGGTTAGGCGGTGCTCTTATGTGGTCTGAAGCTGTCCATGTGGTGCGCTGGCTCTGGGACCTCCCAGGAGCTATAAGCCAAGATCAGATGCCCCCTGTGCCCTACCTGGGGCCACCCAACATGAGCTACAGAGCAATCTTCAGATGGCTGCTACTTGTGCTGGGCTTGGAGATGCCCAGGAGGGGCCAATTCTGATCTGAGGCCAGCTGCCACTGGTGCCTGGCCTGGGGCCACTTAGTGAGAGGCACAGGACACAATGAAGCCAGATGCTGCTTTTTGAGGTTTGTGAACCTTTGAGAGATTTTAGGAAAAACTGCAGCATGAGCCAAGACAGGCCATTTGTTTGGAAAAGCCACTGAAAATAGCTTAGGTGGGCCTGCAAGTTTGGTGAGGTGGGGGTCTCAGAGAGTCACCAGTGCCATCTGAAGAGTGTTAGCCACGTGGATGGAGACTCAGATATGGCACCCACCTGCCAGCTCTGTAGGGGTTACGGGGAGGGCTCAGCAAAGGTACAGTGGCCTCTGTCAGCACTTCTGTCTGGGAGAAAGCTGCCCCTCCAACTCTCAGCCAAAGCCAGACAATTCAGTTCCTGCACATATGTCCCTGGCACCTTCTGAGCTGCTTCCCCAGCACTGGAGCTCAGAGTTAGTGAATCTGAGTAAGTCCATGCACAGGCCCTTTAAGAGGAACTGCCTGGGCCCGGTTGGGTGTGGTTCAGTGGTTGAGCATCTACCTAGGATCCAAGAGATCACGGTTTGATTCCCCATCAGGGCACATGCCCGGGTTGCGGGCTCGATCCCTAGTGGGGGGTGTGCAGGAGGCAGCTGATCAATGACTCTCTCATCATGGATGCTTCTATCCCTCTCTCCCTCTCCCTTCCTCTCTCTGAAATCAATAAAGATATATTAAAAAAAGAAAAAAGAAAAAAAGAGGAACTGCCTGGGACTCCAGCCACCCTATGTCTCACTCAGCCATAATCCCTGCTGGTTTTCACAGCCAGAAGTTATGGGGCTGGAACCTTGGGCTGGAGAGGAGAGCATTCCTCGCTCTTCAAGGGGGACCTCTGCAGCTGAGATAGCCCTCCTGATTTTGAACTGCCATAGGTAGGTGTGGCAGCCTGTTCTGCATGTCTGCCCCTCTTCTCTGTCTTGATGTGGCTTCTTTATATCCTTAGTTGTAGAACTTCTTTTCAAGTAGATTTCTATTGGTTCTGAATGATGATTGTTATGTAGTAATTTAGTTGTAATTTTGATGTGGTTGTGGGAAGTTCTCCTTCACTATCTTGACGAAAGCTTCTCTGAATCTCTTTAGCAAATGTTCACTAAGTTTGTGGTCATCTCAGCTTGAGGAGAGAGTTGTCTATTCTCACTGGGCATTAGTTCTAACATCCCATTTGTTTTTTGGTCACTTCTGTTTGGATTCACCATGTCACTGAAATTGCTCCGTCTGGTGGCCATACTTCAGCTGTATTTCACTTCTCTCTCTGACACTGATGTACAGAGGTGACCACTTCATCCTTGAAATGCCTCCTCTGGCTAACATGACTACATAGACCTTTCTGTTACCAAATGCCTGAAACAATCTTTGACGCATAGGCACTTACTGAAGTTATTAAATGATTAAAGTATTGAAAAATGCATATATACAACTCTAATCCACTCCTGTTGTTTTGATTGGTTTTTAGTAATTCTCAAATCATATCTACAACCTCCAATATTTTTTGGATTCTCTCTTATGCAATGCAATAACATGAGTAGTCGACTAACTAGAGAAGTTGGTTAAAATGGGGAGTAAAAACATGATGCACATGCAACTTAAATATTTTAACTTCAGACATTGGCCAGATTTTTCTCATCTCATTATGACCTGCACACATAGTCACTCCCTGCTGGGTTGTTGTTTTTCATCCTCACCTGAGGACACGCTCAGGGAGAGGTAGGGAAAGAGAGAGAAACAGGGATGTGAGGGAGAAACACCGATTGGGCGCCTTCAGTGTGCTCCCTACCCGGGGATCAAACCAGCAGCCCTTCGGCACATGGGGTGATGCTCAACCCACCGAGCTATTCTGGCCGGGCTGCTCTGCTGTTTTTATACTTCATGTGCATTTCTACAGTGGCATGTGTTGTGCTGTAATGTCATTATTTTTGTATGTTCTTCTCCCCTAATTGACTATATGCTTTTTGAGGGCTGTGTCTGAATCTTGTCATTCTTCTTCCTGGCACCCACACAGGGCGTGGCACACAGTAGGTACAGTAGTTATTCCATGATGTTTATTGAACTGATTTGAATTTATAACATAATAAGATGGAATCTAATATGATCCTAGAAACACATTTCTAGTTTTGATTAGTATTGAGGAAATATTTATCTATTGCTGTTTTAGGGGTATACAATCTTATTTTAATTTTAAAAATGTTAAGAGTGAACCTAATGAATTCGTGAGTGGCAAGGGTGGATTTAGGTGATTGGATATTAGATACTATATTCTGAGGAACACTGATACTATCTCCTTTTCATCTCCAGGACATTATTAGATTTCATCATACAGGAACATTTCCCCTCAGTAGATGTCAAAGAACCTAATAGATATGTGGTAAGTTTTTAAAGACAAAGGGCAATACTTTGTTTTCTCTCATTGGGCTGTCAACATTAGTGGTTACAACTTAGGACTTAAAAAACTACAGTTAGGCAAGGAAATGTAGAGCATCACGAACATTTTGTTAGAGGAGAGTAAGATGAACGGCTTCATAAGCAAGGCACAGAGAAGAAATTTGTTTTGTTTGAAGGTTATCTAGAAGACAAGAACAGGTGCTACTGCATCCTGACTGTACACATTATTTTTGAGCAGCATTTATAAGTTGGTCACATATTTTCTTTTCTCACCCATTAGATATATAGCTATTTCTGTAGTTGTAGTTTTAAAATAAACATAACACATAATAGGAAAATGTGGTTTTCTATTGGAAATTTCTGTGTGGAAATTTTTTGATTTTCATACCTTTTTTCATTCTTTTAACAGTCACAGAGAAGAGAATTCCATTATTTTTCTTGGTGACTCATTTCAAAGCTTAATAACTCACTTCCCTTACATTTAACTCCCTTGTGCTGAATTCTCATGCTTTTTCCTTTTTTTTGTTTGTTAATCCTCACCTAAGGATGTTTTTTCCATTGATCTCTAGAAAGAGTGAAAGGGAAGGAGGGAATGAAAGAAAGAGAAGGAAACACTGATGTGAGAGACACACATCAATTGGTTGCCTCCCGAACATCCTCCCACCCTGACTGGGGTGGGGATGGAACCTGCAACCCGGGGACGTGCCCTTGACTTGGAATTGAACCTGTGACCCTGCAGTGCCTGGGCCAGTGCTCTAACCAGTGAGCCACGCTGGCCAGGGCGCTNCCTGTGGAAATTTTTTTATTTTCATAACTTTTTTCATTCTTTTAACAGTCACAGAGAAGAGAATTCCATTATTTATCTTGGTGACTCATTTCAAAGCTTAATAACTCACTTCCCTTACATTTAACTCCCTTGTGCTGAATTCTCATGCTTTTTCCTTTTTTTCTTTGTTAATCCTCACCTAAGGATGTTTTTTCCATTGATCTCTAGAGAGAGTGAAAGGGAGGGAGGGAATGAAAGAAAGAGAGAGAAACATTGATGTGAGAGACACACATCAATTGGTTGCCTCCCGAACATCCCCCCACCCTGACTGGGGTGGGGATGGAACCTGCAACCCAGGGACCTGCCCTTGACTGGGAATTGAACCTGTGACCCTGCGGTTCATGGTCCAGTGCTCTAACCAGTGAGCCACGCGGGCCAGGGCGCTTTTTCCTTTTTTTATTGGACATTGAGAAAGCCTGATCATAATACTGTGTATGAGCCTTTTATAAATTATTTCTAAATGAATAATTTTATGTTCTTCCATATATAATTTCTGTTTCTTTAGTCAACTATTGGCCCACATTTGTAAAATCTGAAAAATTTCTAAATTTTATTTTAGGACTTTTTTTCTATTGTGGTATCCAAGACAGCACAACTTATTGCCCTGTGGATGTCTGTTGGTTTTGCTCATGGTAAGTTATCTATTAATGTTTCACTCTTCCAGTGAGAAAGTAGAATTAATCTGTTGAGGCAGGAGGCTTCTTTTTTAGGTATATCAAAATATTCCTGCCATTGAGCTTCTTAACATTTATAGCATGCAAATTTTTTTTAGCAACAATTTAAAATGGTTTTGAATTGAACAGCATACACAAAATAGAATAAGGATGACCTTGTGAGTCTATATTTAGACCTCAAAGGTATTTTCAAAATCTTAATTATTAAAGTCTTACATGCTTGTGGTAAAGAATTTAAAATATACACAAGTCATTTTGAGTTCCATTCTCTGGGATAATCATTATTAACCATTTCATACCAAGTTTCCTAGACTTTATTTTGATGACATTCACATGTCTCCTATAAAAACACCTGGTTGCATTGGCAGGAATATCTGCCTGAACTAGGAATAGCTGAAAAGCAAGGTCTCTAGATAAATACCAAAGGAGGATTCCACATTGCAAAACTTTTTGAAATTGGCTTTAATTATCACACACTCTCTGTATCTCACTTGGCGTTGGGTGGAGAACAGCGTAGGTGTTTCAGAGCTTTTGCTGTTATGAACTGTGCTGCAGTGATCACCACACAACTATCCCTTTGTATTCTTGAAGATGAGTTTTTGAGGATAAACTCCTACAAGTGGAATGGCTGGATTAGAGAGTCTGTACATTTAACATTTGGATAAAAAGGGCCATCTTTCTCTGAAAAAGGTCAAAAATCTCTCTGTTGAACACTGTGCCACCATGCCCAAAATCCTATATGAGGCTGGTGTGCCCATGGCTTCCTCCTACCCTACACTCTGCCCCCATCCATGAACCCCACACCTAAGAGGTCACTCTCCTCCTACCCCCACACTGCTAGTGGTCTGCAACTCAGGACTGTTATGGGGATACATATCCATATTTTCCCCCTTTCCCCTTTTCACAGCCTTTGAAAATTAATTTTATTCCTTTACTAGTCTCAATTCCATTCCAAATAATTTATTGTTTAAATAACTGCTAGAAATTGAGAATAAATAAGAGGAAGTTTTATTTCTTGGGGCTTTTGTTCCTAAAGTACTTGAAATCTTTGGGAACTGGGGAATATAAAACAAAAGGCTAAATTGATTTTTAAAGTACAGTTTTAGTATATATTAAGCTATTTGTCTTCATCAGTTAGACTTTCAATTGATAATAAAATTTTGCTTCATTTCTAATACAAATGCATTTCCCTGATCTTTTCTATTCTGGATAATTTTATACAGTTAAAAAATGCTTTGTTGCCCTGGCTGGTTTTTCTCAGTGGTTAGAGCGTCAGCCTGCATACCANGCTCAGTGGTTAGAGTGTCAGCCTGCATACCAAAGGGTTGTGGGTCTGATTGCCAGTCAAGGACATGCACTTGGGTTGAGAGTTCACTCCCCAGGCCTGGTTGGGGCACATGGGGAAGGCAACCAGTTGATGTGTCTCTCTCACATCAATGTTTCTCTCTCTCCCTCTCCTTCCCCCTTCCCCTCCTTCTCTCCCTCTCCCTCCCCCTTCCCCTCCTCCTCTCCCTCTCTCTCTCCCTCCCCCTCCTCCTTCCCCTCTTCCACTTTCTCTGAAAAGTAATGGAAAAAATATCCTCGGGTGAGGATTAACAACAACAACAAAATGCTTTATTTTATTATCATGTTTTTGGAATTTTTTATTGTTGTTTTAGGTGTTTGTAATACTGATAACTTCAGTTTGTTATCCATTACAATTGACTATGGTCCATTTGGTTTTATGGAGGCCTATAACCCAGGTATGTATGATTTATATGTATATATAAATATGCCTTATTTCACAAGTTTATTATAAACTGTTATACCTAATACAGTGATTGGGTAGTAAAAGAATTGGGGTCATTTATAGAATGGTAATTTTGTGTGTTACACAATCTTCTAGGTGCCATAGGGATACAAAAATGAGCTCTTTGTAACCTTAGCCCTCAAGGAATTAGATATTAGTGAAGATAACATGAAGCACAGTAGGGAATATGTTATCAGACAGACATGAGTTTGATTTCTGGCATCTGACCCTTAATGGCTGTGTGCCCTTGGACAAGTTACTTGACCTCTTACTTACTAACCTATAAAATGGAGGTGACAATAATATAATACTTGACCCTGGAAAGATCAGAGTGGGCTTTGAGGATGACATGCTACTTGAGTTTGAATTTGAAGTATGTATGTGGTGACCTGGAAATTCTTGTAGGTTAGACATGTATTCTTCTATTAGGCAAATATTCATAGTATAAAGTATTTTCATGTGTATGGACATTAAATATTTATATTACTTTTTAGTTAAATGTTTAATGTCAGAAAGAGTTTTATCTAATAAATGTAAATTTATTAAGTTTAAGTATAAACTTAAAAATGAGGAAAATAGCTCACTGTATAAGGATAGTATTTTTGTTTTAAACAGATTTTGTACCAAACACATCTGATGATGAAAGAAGATATAAAATAGGAAACCAGGCCAATATTGGGATGTTTAACTTAAATAAATTGTTACAAGCTCTAAACCCATTACTGGATCCAGGGCAAAAGCAGCTGTGAGTAAATCCTAATTAAATCTGTATAAAAATATAGTTGTATAAGGATCATATTTTGAAATGGAAGAAAGTAACATCTTAAAAATCAGCTTATTTAGTCTTTAATAATGACAGTATTCCAACTCTGTTTTTTTCTCTAGTACAGTTTTTGCTTTTTTCCATAGTTTTCAGGATAAGTTGTTTTCCTGTTTATTGCTTTTTAGATGTTGCAAAATTTTAGTTTATTTCTTCTTTGATCTAAGGGTTATTTATCACGATTTCTTAATTTCTAAGTAGTTGAACTTATGTCCATATTTTTGGGATCAAAGAATGTGTTTAGTAAAATCTACTATTCAAAATGTGTTGAGGGTTTGTATAGCCCTGCTTTACCTCAAGAGTGAGGGCTGAAGCCTTGCTCTTACCCTGTAGGTCTGCCTGTGTCTTCCAGGACCCAGCAGCTACTAGGCCAGGGTTATGTTAAAATATTTGTTGATGTACCATTGGACATTGAATTTCTTGAGGGCAGGGCCATGTTTTATTCATTTCTGTGTCTCTAATGTACTTGCTAGAAGATAAAACATATTTTGTTTTCCACTCTCCTCCCCCTACCTCCAATCTAAAATTTACTGTTTCCAGTACAAGATTCCAAATGGAAGACAAGGCATATAGTGATTTTATTAATCTCAGGTAGCAAAAAATTACTACAATAAAGATAAAAAAGTTTTATAACTCATGTATGACTTTCTTAATTAATTTAAAACTATAGTGGTAATACAGTCACATAGTTCAAAATCAAAATGATATAAAATGATATTCATTCAGCAGCTTCATCCCATTGATGGAGACAAGCAGCTTGTCTCCATTAATTTTACATCTCTTTTGCGCTGCAGACTTCGTTCATTCATTCAACAAATATTTATTGAGCTCCTCAGTATGTGCTAGACACTGTTCTAAGTGCTAAGATGATAGCAGTGAATAAAACAGCACAATAAACACCCTCATAGTGCTTACTTCTGGTGGGAGAGACAGTCAATAAACGGAATAAATAAGTTATGTAACATATTAGAAGGAGATAAGTACTATGGAGGAAAATAAAGCAGTGGGTAGGGAATATAGGGAGGGGGAGGCAGGGTTTACAGTTTTAAGAGGATGGTCAGCAAAGATCCTGAGCAAAGACCTGAAGGAGTCACAGGGACAAACCCTTCAGAGATACCTGGGAGGAAGCACTACGGGCAAAGGAATAGCCTGTGCGAAGGCCCTGAGGTGGGAGTGTGCGGGGTGTTTAAGGAACAGCAAGGTGGTTGCCACAGAATGAGCAAGGGGAAGAGTTGTAGGTGAGGTCAGGANGCCGCAGAATGAGCAAGGGGAAGAGTCGTAGGTGAGGTCAGGAAGGTAAAGGGAGCCTAGCTTCAGAATGTGTTGAGTTTTATGTAATTGAAAATATCTTTAAGAATGTTAAGAAATAGAAACTATTTGTTTAAAGATGGGTTTAAGGTTAAAAACTCTAATTTTTATATTTTTATGAAATATTTCACTATATATGTTCATACATTCAGACACGTAAAATATTGTGTTGGGTGAGTTACTTGTAATGCATTATTTTTGGTCTAAGATTTTAAAAATACACCAAAAAACCCATTTATATCAATATTTATCCTGTAAGCTAATTGTATATAGTGTTTNAGATTTTAAAAGTACACCAAAAAACCCATTTATATCAACATTTACCCTGTAAGCTAATTGTATATAGTGTTTCAGAAGTGACATGGTTTGATTTCTACTGTATTCAAATCTTTGAGAGAGTAAATTAGTATTGATAATTTTCTCTAAGATATGATATACAATTAAATCACCAAACCAGAATCAGTAGTACATAATCTAATGTTATTTAATACACGAGAAAGTTCATTTTGTTCTTGTAAAATGTAATTCAAGAATGCTAATTTTAAATCAAGGTTTAACTGTTCTTTTTTCCTTCCCATAGCGCTGCTCAGATTCTTGAGGGGTATCCTATCCTTTATTATACAAGGTTTGTCCTTTTTGAATATAGATGTTAAAGCATCCTGGTTGGTTTGAGGACAGTTCTTAAAATAGTGAGAAATTTAATAACATATTAAATTGACATTTCTTCTTTTAGATTTGGAGAATTATTCAAAGCCAAATTGGGATTACTTGAAGAAAGGAAGGGTGATGATGATTTAATTGCATTTCTCTTACACGTGAGTTTATAATTTAATCTTTTTTCTGATTAACATCTGAATTACTAATTAGCATCTTCTCAATGAACTGAGATTGGTAAATATACTTATTTTCATTAGCTCATGGAAAAGACAGAAGCTGATTTTACCATGACATTTCGGCAGCTCAGTGAGATTACTCAAAGCCAGTTACAGGAGCTCAATATTCCTCAGGTATTAATTTGTGACATTTGGCTTTTTTCTTAATTCTGTTTGTTTTTTTTTAACAGGTTTATTGAGGTATAATTTATATACCATAAAATTTAACTCACCTTAAGTATACAATTCAGTGATTTGAAAAATAATTTACATATCTGTGCTGTTATCACAATTCAGTTTTGGAACAATTCCATCACACTTCTGGTCCTTTGTGCTCTTTTGCAGTCAGTTTCTGTTTCTATTCCCAGCACCAAGCAACTATTAATTTACTCTCGATCTCTCAAGGTTTTCACTTTTAGACATTTCCTATAATGGAATCATACAATATGTGGTCTTTTGTGTCTGGCTTCTCTACTTAACATGTGTTGAGGTTCATTCATGTTGTAATCTGTGTCAGTAGTTCTTTTCTCTTAGTTTCCGAGCAGTACCCCATTGTATGGACATACCACATTTTGCTGATCCATTAGGGTCATTTCCATTTTTTGGCTATTGTGAATAAATACTGCTCTGGACATTAGTGTACAAGTTTTTGTGTGAACATGTTTCATTTCTCTTGTGTATATTCTAGGAGTGGAATTGCTGGGTGGTTTAATAAATCTGTTTAATTTTTTAAGAAACCACCAAACTGTTTCTGAAGTAGCTGCACTTAATTCACTTTTAAGAATATGTGTTGCCTTTTTATTTAAGTTATAATACATTGAGTATATTATTTATGGAATAATATGGGTATTGCCAGAAGATTTCTACTTATTATAGATTTTTAGAAACAGATCTATTTTTAATGTCTCGGTCCTATATATTGCAGTTCTTGTTTTTGTCATTGTTGAGACTAAAACCTAGCCTCATTTTTTTCATTTCAATTTCTTCATTATTATTCATGACATTCTCTGTATAATGTTATTTTTTCCCAATTAAAAAAATTCAGCCTCATTTATACACTCATTTAATGAGTACTTATTGAGAACCCATTGTTATTGACAGTTTATTCTGGGAGAGGCATTATAATAAATACTTTATGAAATAATAAAAAATATTGTTAATAATAATATAACAACAGTAATAGCTAACATTTGAGTGCTTATTATGTTCCAGGCACTATTCTAAGAATTTTATATGTAAAATCGGTGACATAACATGAGGTGGGTACCATTGTGATCTCTGTTTTACTGATGAAGAAACTGAGGCATAGAGAGGCAACAAGTGCCAGGTCACACAGCTCGTAAAAGTCTGGCTGGATGCAAACACAGGCAGCTTTCCCCAGAGTTCAGGCTCCTCATTCCTGAGCTCCGCGCATCTTTCTCGTGTAAGAAAAGGATGGGCTTCTTCTCTCGGTCCCTTGATCCAGTCAGTCACCAGGGGAAAGGCAGCTTGGGATAAGTCATAAAGCTTGGAGTTGAGAGTCCTGTGGAGTTGTGGATGTTTAGGGGTCATGTTCATCGCAGGCACTTAGGAGGCCGTGTGCTGCAGTGACTGAAGAGACAGGCCCTGGTGGCAGAGTGGGTGCTTCACATCGAGAGTGCCCTTTGGACAGGCCACGTGAGCTTGTACAAGCTGCTCAGTTTCTCTGGCCCTCACTTGTTTCCCCTGTAAGAGGATTAATAATCATACCTACCTCATAGGTGCTCAACTGTTCCCTCTGAGTAGAGATTTCAGACTCTGTTTTTTCAGCGTGATCTCCACATGGGGTTAAAGGAAGGGCTGCCATGATTGAAACTATTCTACCAAGAGGCTTCAGCTCTTACAACCTGTTTATAACTACTTTCAAACAAGAATAGCTGTCAGTGTAGGAAATGAGAGTTAAACTAGTGTTCTTTGAAAAAGAAGCATAGCAAGTGTTATTGTAAAGGTAGGTATGGATCATACTAATTATAAGAAATGGTTATTTTTTGCCCTGGCCAAGGTGGCTCAGTGGTTAGAACATCACCCCACACCCTAAAGGGTTGCAGGCTCCATTCCCAGCCAGTCGGGTCTTGCATGGGAGGCAATCAATTCATGTGTCTCTCTCACATCCATGTTTCTCTCTCCCTCCCCCCCACTTTCTCTAAAAATCAGTGGAAAAAATATCCTCGGGTGAGGATCAACAAAAAAAAGAAAAAGAAAAATTGTTTTTCTCATGGGCATGGATAGCCTTAAATTACATTTCCAGGACTGATTTGAATTAAAAAAAGGTCTACCTGTTCAGTTGGAAATACCAAAAAATGTTAACCAGTAAGAATCTTTGATGTAATTGAAAAAAGTGTTAGTGATGAATCTATCAGAATTAATAATTAATTACTGATAATCACTAATTATCACTTAATGTGTAGAAAACTGAGACAAAGTAATATTAAAGTGACTTGTTCAAGTTTTGACAGATCTCAATAGTTAAATTACTAAGAGTTGGGATAATTTAATTGTGAAGAGCTTATTACACTTTTCATCATTTCAATAGTTAATTTGCGTGTCTTTTGATATGAGACCTTTTCAATCCCCTGACACCAAAGAATTGCTCATTCTTTGGTGTTCTCTTATCCTTAATATACGTATTTCTATAATACATATATATTTTATAAATATGTATATTTCTAAAATGGCATTGAATATTTTGTTTATACACTTTCCTTAAATGCAGGGATCATGTCTTATTAATTTTTATATCCTTCCCACCTAATAAAGTTCCTAGCAATAGTTGACGTTGCAAAAATATTTGTTAAGTAAATTAATAGGTGACTAAATAAAATGCAGTTGCAAATTAAGCTTTTAAAAATAAATTACATTAAGGGAGTTCCCTATTTAAAGGAAGACTTTTGGTAATGCAAGTAGTCACATGTATGTAATCTCTTTGATAGAACTTTGTATATTTTTATTTCTCTTAAATCATGCCGTTACATGTTTGTCTATGAATTAGATTTTAGAGTTAAATATTATATAAAGAAAAGGGAAATATTATTCCTTTTTAGTACTACTTCTACTTGAGATAGTATACCTTAAAAAATCTGGATGTGATAAGTTATTAAAGAATATAATTAAAAGGAACGTGGAGTTAAAATGAACTGAACCAATACAAATAGAATAAGCAGCCTATTGCTGTACTTTCATTTAGCAATTCTGGGCACTGAAGGTGACTTCAGAGCATGAACTCTTCCCTGCCTGGGTGTCCCAGTACCTTTTGAGACTGAAGAGGTAAGGCAATCTAATGATCTGCAAAAAAGCATAAGATATATTGCTTTAGCATAGTTAATCCATCAGATCCCTCCCTTTTCCTTTTTCACCATTTCCTTTTTACTCCTGGGCACTTCGCACTGGCTGAGGCGGCTGCAGTAACACCTCCCCCGCATCAGCTCTTCAATCACACGGTTCCCCAGGTTTTCCAAGCCCTGAAAGTGGAGGAGAGCTCCTCGGGCTTTCATCAGATGTTGACTTACTGGCACATCTTACACAATTGTAAGANCTTTCATCCGATGTTGACTTACTGGCACATCTTACACAATTGTAAGAAGTTATTTTGTTTCATAACTCAAAATGAAGTAGAAGCAACAAACAGGAAGGAGTAAAGGAGTCATGGGTGGAGGCAGCTGAAGGGACAGACAGGAGACCGCAGGACACACGGGAGCAAATCGCCCTCAGTTCCATGGCCACCGAGGGCTGTTTGTAAAGATGGTCCTGAGTAATCAAGAAGTTAAAATATTTTCAGAAAACTGTGTTTAAGATAAGGAAAGGTTTCGGTCAATTTAGACTATTTTTAGACAAATATAATTTAATTTGTAAAAATAAAAGGTTTGATATTATCTAAAATAACTAAACAAGGTAGTATTTTACATATTTAATCGACTCATATTTTCTGTATTCCTTTCAGACACTGATTCAAGGTGATTTTTAATTTTTTTCAATACTTGTCTTGTGAGATAATTCCCACCCTTTTGAAAAAAAGATAATTTGGGGAGACAGTAGGTAATTTTTCTTTTCTTTTATTCATATTTTAATAACATGAATGATTCAGATTCTGAAAGAAGGAGAAGAATGATGGGTAAGTAATCAGTTTCATTTTTAAAGAACTAAATAATCACATAAAAGCAACATTTTTTAAACCAGAAGGAACTACCTGAGGGAACTAAGCTTTATTTTTTTTAAACAAGAAGAATTCTAGATGAATAAATTTTAGCTGAGTTGGACTATCATATATGAGCTTTCTAATTTCAGTGGGTGGTTTTTAACTCAGAGCATGATAGCTTTGTTTTCAGCCAGTTTGCATATTGGTGTTAAAGTGATTCAGCCTTAATAGATGGTGGGGAGACAGAAAGGCGGTTTGGGTTATGGCGGTGAGACCAGGTTTTCTCCTTACCTGGTTCTTTGTCTCGTGGAGTCTAAGAATGAAGTTCACGGACAACAGAAGAGTAAGGGAAAGAGTACAAAGGTTTAGTGTAAAGAAAGCAAAGCTCTGGGGTGCGAGAGGGGTCCTGAAAAAGGTCGCCTCTGCAGCTCACTAGTCTAGGGGTTTATATTTCCTATATTTGTTCCTCATGGGCTCCTTCTAAGAATTCTACCTTAGTGACAGCCAACCTCTTTGTTTTTAGTTTCCCACTTCAGGGGGTTGGGTGTAGGGCACACTTCTTTTTCTCGTATCCTGTTTGCCCAGGACATTTCACCTTTGCATGGTTCCTTTTTCCCCAGGGTCCCCACCCTAAACTCCTGGCCATTTCTAACTCCTTGGTAGAAAGAACATGAGTTTTAGAATCTGGCAGATGAATCACATCTTGCCACTTTTTAGATGTATAATCTGAAAGATATTTACCTCTCTAAGTTTTAAGGCCCTTAGCTATTGTAAAATGTGGATATTTTGCAGGGATGTTGTAATGATGAGCAATAATATATGTAAAGGATCTTGTTACAGTGCTTGGGCTAAAATAAACATTCAAGTAATGATAGCTCTAAGAATAAATCATCTTTATATATTGATTCCAGTTTGCTATGTGACATATGGCTTGGAGAAAGGAAAAATAGTTCTTTTTGCAATATGAATTCTAAGTCCTTAAGTACTCTTGCCTTACTTAGGGGTTGTATAGAGCTACTGATGTCACCAGGGACCTGATTCATGTAGATGAAATAGGGATGACACTAATAGGTAGGTTACTCTAGGTAGCTCCAGCATTACACGATTCAGCTTATATTGCTAGGAAGATATTTTCAAAAGCCCTAATATATCTGCATCTGCAATAAAATGAGGTTGGTTGTAATTCTAAAAACTTAGTGTAATTTTGCTTTTCTTCATGCCTACTCGTGAATTTGTGGCACATGGTCAGAAGAATCTATCTTGTTTGGTCAGCTGATTAGAACACAGCTATTTAAAGCTCAAGGCAGCTGCACTGAAGTCCTGGGCTTGAGCCTCGCTATAGAGCACAGCCCCAGGCCTACTCCACTGACCGCCCCCCCACCTTGGAAATAGCAGCCACTGACCATGAGGGACCGAGTTGGCCCAAACCCGGGCTGGCTCAACACAAACTTACTGCTTTTGGAAAATAACACAAAGTGAACCTTAGACTGATTGCAAGTCAGACACCTTTCCTTTGTGTTCTGAGGACTCAGTGGAAATTAGACAAGGTCATTTGGTGATCCAGGTGAAAGGGCTGTCAGTTAAGGCAGCGATTTGCAACGTGTGCGCTACTGCACAAGAACTGTTAAGGGGCTGGGGTGGCAGAGGGGCGCCCCGGCCGCCGGCTGGGTGGGGGCTTGGTGTGTCCCCTGAGATGATGGTGTGGGCCTAAGGGGACTGCGGGGGTGTGGGGCTGGGGCAGTGGGCCGTCGGGGGTGCACAGCCACGGGAAGAGCGGCCGCTGCACATCCTGTGGTGAGGGGCGCGCAGTGTGCCCAGAACCGTGCTGCTGCGGGTGGTCGCCAAGGACGCGGCCCCTGGAGTTGTGTCCCCACCCTGTCCGAGAACCACACCGCAAGCTCTGCCATGGACAAGGCTGCAATGAGCTCAGCATGTGGAGCACTTGGGGCTCCTCTCGCTGTGATCCAGTCTGGCCCCTGGCCTGTCCTGATGCAGACGCTCAGCTGGCAGGGCGGCCAAACCAGGGGACAGCGGAGGAAGGAGAGAGACAGGGACCCAGCCAGGAGCTGCAGCCTCGGAGAGGGCGGGGGCGGGNACGCCGGGGACTGCAGCGATCCACTCAGCTGGCAGGAAGGCCAGACCGGGGGAGCGGGAATGAAGGCGAGATACACAAGGATCGAGCCAAGAGTTGCAACCTCATGTGAGGAGCCGGCGAGGGGCAGAGTGTCAAGAGGGGTGGTGAAGGGCACAGTTGTTCCCCTGCCTGCACCCTGGCTTCCTGACCTCCTGCCTCTGGCTGGAACTTCAGGGCAGGCTGAGTGAGCAATTCTCCTGGGCAAGGGACCCAGAGGCAGAGGGTGCCACCATTCCCAGCATCCTCACCCCCCTCCTCTCCACAGGAAGTTGAGGGAGCTAGCAGGGCAGGCATCTGGGCCAGGAGCTGGGATGGGGCAGGGGGCTTAGAGAAACTGCCATCGAGCAGTGACCTTGGTTGAGTCTCAGCATGTGAAGGGTGCCTTCCCTCCCCGCCTCCAGTTCCCATATCTTGATCCTGGCTTCCTTCCCTAAGGAAAGTGTCCATTCCACGACCTTCCCTTTCCCTCTTCTGCCTCTACAGGATTCTCACTCACCCGGCCTCCAGGCCACTGCCCTAAACGAGCAGCAAATTGAGAGGCCCCTCCCTCCCTCCATTCACCAGCCCAGCTCCTCTCTCTCCTCCCCCGACAGTCCCCAAGTAAAGCCCATGCCCACCGGGAAAAAGTAAAACATGCACTACCTGACTATTTAGTCAGGGGTACTGACTTCTTCTTCCTTAGATTTTCAAATTAAAAAATGCAACAGCCAGCACAACAGTAGCCATCTGGTATGAATGAACCAGAATTATACTTTTTTGGTCAGATTGGCAAAAAATATAAAGTATTATTTGGTGTGTCGCAGAATTTTAACTAGTTTATGTGTGCCATGAGATGAAAAAGTTTGAAAATCACCAAGTTAAGGTGATAGTGTAAATTTAAATAGTGGCCTCAAGTTAATCTTGCAGACTTCACCTTTTCTAGATAGTAGAATAAAGGAAATTTTCTACTTTATGCCTCCTCTGGGGCATGGGGGGGGGG